TTGTGGGTTTTTTGTTTGTGGTTTGTTTTTTTGTTTGTTTTTTTTTTAATCTCTCAGTATTTCTAGGAAACAAGCATTTGGGTTACATTAAATATTCAATATATGAGCTGCTGGTTAGACATCAGAAAATCAATAGCTTCGTACATTCCTAACTGGGCATTTACCAATGAAAGGTTGTATCCCGAGACAGAAACTCTCTGCTCTAATTAGGAAGCCTTATCTAGGAAGAACAATGTTACCTGGGTTTTTTAAACCCAAGTCTGTCTCTTCTTCTTGTAGTACCAGCATCAGTAAGACCAAGTGTGCTAACAACTCTTTACATACTTTCCATGGAGCTATTCGATTATTTTATTCCTCACTTTCCTCTCATCCTTGACACAAGATGCTGAAATACTTCAATCTTGCCCCCTTGGGGAGCACAGCAGTCCTCAACATGTGTGAGACTTCAAAAAAATTAACACAGGCCCATCATTTTTTTTGTTGTTGTTTTAAGCACAAGTTTATTTCATATTTCACTTGGCTAGGTACTCTACAGCAGCTTACTCATCCCACCACCTGTTTACCTTTGCACCTACTGATGCAGACTGGTATTAACCTGGGAGGTACAGACTCAGCTCTGTCATTACTGAGGATGGCCTTCACATAATCTTCTCTTTCCTATCTGGGGCACCTTCACGATAAGGTAACAGGCAATACACACAGGCTGAAGAGAAACAGCTGGGCGTGTACTAGATTTGAATATAGTAACTAAGGCTTATTGGAGTCATTAAATGAACAGGTGTCTGGAAATTGCAAGGGTGTGATTGCTACTACATGACAGTACACTTGGGGCAGCCTGTTTAGTCATTGAAAACCAGCTGGCTCTAATGGGTAAGCTGCCTTCCCAGGCACAAGCAGTGGTCAGTGGACTGAAGCCCCACAACCAAGAAGGGCCAAGACAGAGCTGGTATGACCCCCTGCACAGGCACAACTTTATACTGTATTATACTGCTATCGTGTAACACATGCCCGGCATTTTTGCTGCTGCTGAAGTATAAACCAGCGACAAGGAGCCACTGTGCCTATGATTCTGCTAAGGCTGGGAATAAAAAATTAATAATAGTTGATCCTACAGACACTCATCTATTAAAAAAAAGAACAACTGGAACACATGAAAAAAAACCACTATAATCTTAAGCCCTTTTTATGTCAAAAACCTTTCAAGAAAGCCACTGGGAAAAATTCAGCCAAAGTGGGGAAACATACAACTGTAATACAAATACTATTTTCTTGTTTACACACACATACACCAAAAAAAAAAAAAGAGCCAGGTGATGTTTCACAACCACAGCAAGCCTTCAGTCAGGTGTTGCTAAATGTAACCAGGGTAAGTGTAGTGGCTTGCCATCTGACATCACAGCGGTACAACAACAGACAGTCAGGAGCTGCATCCCACCACGCAGCTCAGTGTAAACTCTCCAGCACGGAGAACACAGACTTTGCTGACTCCTGTGCTCAGTCTGCCTCCTCAGCCTTATTCACCCGAGTACACTGCCTGCAGAGTCCCTCTCCTGCCAGATTTGCTCCATCTTCAAAAATGAGAAACTTTTACCGATTCTAGTCTTTCATGTCTTGTATTTTCTCGAGTAGAATTAAGGGGAAGAGATTTGTATGGAGACTGTTTTATTAAGTCATCCCTCAAAGCAGTCAAATCCTGAGAGAAACTTATTAAAAAAAAAAAATAGTGTAATATAATAACCTTAGAAATTAAGTGATCTGTGTATAATCTCTGTAAATTTTACAAGATTTATCTGGTTGTCTGCAAAACAGCCCTGTTGCCTTTTTACTTTCCGCCTTCTTTATATCATCGAGTAATTTTTTTCCCATTATACTATTTCACTCTGTTCACAACATTTTCCCTGGAAAAGAGACAGCTGTTAGACACCTTAGGAAGGAAAAATGATTATGTTAAAATACCCCCAGGAAATGAAAAACCTAAGCAAGCAGGAGGTAATTTTATTTTAGCTAAATTAAAATGTAGTCTAGCCTTTCTGTTTGGTGTACGAATTTCAAGAAGGTTTTTTTTTAATGGAGAAATTCTCCACGCACGTTGGAATATCCTTCCAAATCCAGGCTGTAAAATAGGCAATACCTACAGCCTACCCACAAGATCCAAGGCAAACAGAAGTTGCTGTCTCTCTGTTCAGAGGCTGGGCAGCTGCACCATGCCCTTCTACAGCAGCACAAAGAGAAGGTCACAAACTCTCAAGCAGCATGAAAGCAAATCCAAAGCTGCAGCATGACTTCTAGGGCACCACACAAATAAAATTAGTCAACAGAGTAGGAGACATGGCCACAGAGGGACTTCATAGAAAGGAAAGGCAGACATGCTGCCATGCAACTTGGGCCATAGACAGACTTTTCTGGAAACCGCAAAAAGGCTGAAGTGGTGTAAGACATCAGAAAATTATTCATACCCTCTACTCAGTCACAACCATACTAATTAATTCTCCTGTTAACTGCATTTTCACTTTGTTTCCACTGTATTTCTATAAACACATATGATCAACTCTCTTCTCTCTCTCTGCTGAGTACTTGATAAGGTCATGAGTACATCCTTTGAGACCAAATACTTCTATATATAGAAATAATTGCCTGTGGAATTAAGTTCACTTGCCTGGGTATCTAGTTCATACTAAACTCAATTTAGCTGATTTTCCTCATTTATTATATCCATTATTAGGGATAGTGTATACTGCCAGCTGCAGCATTGCCTATCAAAGACAGAAACTAATTATCTAATTAAGTGGCAAGAATGAGTTCCTGTGCAAGAACATTCACAGCCAGCAGATGCAGGCAATCAAGTAAACCATCACAAGGAGGAACTGGTTCCTCCAGCCAGCCAGGTTACACCCTCCTCCTTTTTTAAAGGGGGTAAAAGAAAGGTAGTACACGTAGAATACTGAATATTCCTAGAATACTCCAGTATTCTAGGAATATTGGTTCTCATTAACCATTTCAAATACATCTCTCATCATGCAAGTGAAGCAAATACATGAACAGGCAAAGTGTAGTAGATAGCATGAGCTGGCTATGAATATGCAAAATAAATAAGGACTTTAGGGAAACAAAGTTGAGTTTCTGGACGTGCTGTCTCCTGGGCCTCTGCACTGTGAAACAAGATTCAGGGAGAGAACGAACCACCAGTAGAAGAAGAGGATTAAGTCATAGAGCTCTTGAGAAATCTTAACCCATACAAGCCTGAGGATGCTGAGGGAGCAAGCCAATGTCACTGCAAGGCTGTTCTTTATCATCCCTGTCATTTTTGAAAGGTTGGGGAGAATGAGGGAAGACCCCCAAGACTGCAGACAGGTGAACATTATATCTATCTTCAAAAAGGCCAAGAATAACAACCCAGGGATCAACAGGCTGGTCAGCCTCACTCTGCTTCCTGGGAAAACCACAGAGCAAATCTTCTCAGAAGCTGCTTCTGAGCACATGAAGGTAAAGAAGGTGACCAGGACCAATGACCATGACTTCCCAAGGGTAAACCATGCCCGGCCACCTCAATTGCCCTAAAGTACAATATGACTGAATCTGTGATTGAGGGGAGAACATTGCATGTGTCTACCTTGACTTTAGCAAGGCTTTCAATACCTTCTCCTACAGCACCCTGGTATATCCAAGTTGGGGTATTATAGTCTAGACAGGCAGACTGTTAGCTGTGTGAAAAAACAAGCTGGGACTTAAAGGCCAGTTGTCAACAGCATTTATCTACCTCTAGGGCAGGTACAAGTGGAGTACCTTGCCTTTTATCAGGGGCCTAAAGGAGGAAAAATATGCACCTACTTCAAGCCTGCAGATAATAGCAAACTCAGAGGTGATTACGTGATTTAGAAAGGACAAACATCAAGCCTTTCATGAAGGAAGGAAGGAAGAGCCCCTGGCTACAAGACAGGTTGGGAAGTGGTTGCCCAGGGAGCAGCTCTGACAAAAAGGAGAGAAGCAAGCTGAGCCTGAGCCAGCAGCAAAGATGGTCAATAGCATCCTAAGTCAAGACTAACCCATGCTGCATCCAGTTTTGGGCCCCACTATACAAGAAGAGTGTTCACAAATTGATGCAAGTTCAGATGAGGGCCACCAAGATGGTCAGGGGGTTGGAGCACTTGCCCTGTGAGGAGAGACTGAGGAACCAGGGCCTGTTCAGCCTGGAGACGAGATGGCTTTGGGGGACTGCAAAGCAGCCTGTCAGTACCTATGGGGAGGGCTACTGAGAAGACAGAGTCAGGTGAGGTGTATCCAGGACAACAAGCGATGGTGGCTGTGAAGTGAATCAGGAGAGGTTCTGACTTAATACACGGATGCCACTGTGAGGACTATTTAAACACTGGACTCGGCTGCCCATGGAGGCTGTGGAACCTCTGCTCTTGGGCCCAAGCAGCCTGGTCTGAATTCACTATCAAGTCTGCTCTAAGCAGGAAGTTGGACTGAAGGTCTCCTGAGGTCCCTTCTTGCCTGCCAGGTCCTTCCCAAACCAAAACTGGAACTCCTAGAAGGCAAACTGAACAAGATGTTTTTTCTGCTCCTCATGAGGAATGTCAGTCTCATCTTGTTTAAAAGACTTGGAAATATTTTTTTTTTTTTAATGGATTCCACTGCAATGACTATTTTCTACTTATCATAGCCCTCCAGGCGCATTTCTCAACATTTTTTATCAGCACGATGATAAGTTCAACGGTATCACCTCTACAGCAGGCTTGGTCTGAAACAGATGATGTGACCCAGGTCAGGATTTACACACAGATTTAGAAAGAAAAGGCTTACCCTGTATCTGCTATCTATGTTTTGCTCTGGTGTATTCAAAGTCATTCTTAGTTTACACCTGCATGAACAGCAGCCATACTACTGCCCCAGTGCATTTCTCAATGTCCTCGGGAAAGAAGTTTTAGATCCAAAACAGACAGCTATTTTCAGAAGGCCTCCAAACAATCACAAAAAAAAAAAAAAGAGCATTTACTTACTTATTCCTTGAAAAAGTTCTTCAATGTTAACAGCATTCTTTGCACTGGTTTCAACAACAATTGCACCTATAGATTCTGCATATTCTTTGGCATCCTTCATAGGAACCTCCCTATTAAAAGAAAAAAAATTACAAATAAAAGAAAGCAAATTTAAAAAAAAAAATTGGGGGAAAAAAAAGACCTCAAACAAAGTTTAATCAGAAAAGGATTAGAATGCTCTTCTTCCTTGCAAAGGAAGTACTTTCTTCTTCTTATAGTATTTAAATCATTGCATTCAAAATATCACATTTCAACAGTGATCAATTTGCAGATTTCTTGGACTTGTTGGACTTGCTACTGAATCTGTGCCTTGAAAAAAGGAAGAGAATGTAAATAACCACCTCATTTTTTTGTTTTTTAAACTTGACCCCAATAAAAAAACAAAACCAAACATTAAAACACTAGAGAAAAGACATACAACTCTGCTGATCCAGCCAGCAAGCACAACTGTCCATACCAAGTATTCAAACAAGATAGGGTAGAACTGCTGTGGAAGAAAACTGTAAGAGCATCATACATCTAAGTGTTTACAAGCAGCAAGAAAACAAGAGATATTCTGAAATAAATACGAAAGCCAGTGACTCCAAGCGCGTTGGCAAGAGCAATCTGGGAGTGCCAGATTCACTGAGTAAAGACCACCAAAATGATGCTGTCTTAAAATCACTGTCAGAACATCCTCATTTTGTAGCAAATACTTCATATGTCAAAAGCCAGCAAAAGACCTCTGCTTCAGACACAAAGAAAGCCCCATGCTGATCCTGTATCTGCCTGAGCCAGACGGTAAAGCTGAATCTGCCTGTAACCACCACTACTCCTCATTTTTGAGCGACAGCTCAGAATCAGAGTCTGAACATGCTAACAGGCACCCAAGGTACACCCCATCAGGGGAGCACGTGTTGAAACACCAGGATGCCAGCACTATTTTTCTTCCAGTTGTTCAATACATCAGCTGGTGTGTTTTGTGTGGCTTTACAGCTGTCTGTTGCACACGCAGAATTTGCACTAACTCTTTCACCCCACAGCTCCAATGTATCAATCCAGAGACTCTTAGTACAATTTCCTCCTAGTACGAGTGCCTTGGACTTTAACAAAAGCTACCTAGGTGGGAGCACAGCAATGCAATTTCACGATTAGTTTATGGAGGTATATATTTTAAGTAAGTCAGGTGTGCTGCTCATGGGAAACATGAAGAGAGGCAGAATAATTGCCTGATTTATCGGAAATAGTTTTCAAAAAATTAGCCTGCAGTTCCAGCATCTGGATTCAGAGCCTGTTTCCATTACTTGCTTCTTTGTATTATACATCTTTTTATTGCGGAAGACATAGGGAAGGCAGCATTCCCCTTTCTATTTCTGAAATGGCACCTTAGCCTTTATTATGAAAGGTACCACCATCCCCAGATGGCCCTGGAGATAAGAAAAATGGAACTTAACTATGTAACATAATATTCAAACAACAGTAAAAGAAGAAATTTGAGAGTATAGGGTTACATAATGAAGACTTTCAACTTGCTGTAATTTTGATGAGAACACAAACTTCAGAAATCTAGGAAAAGGTAAAACAGCAGCAAGTGACAATATTCTGAGGAAGGATGACAAAACTTCTTAGCCTTCTCTGATGGTATTTCTAAAGGAAGCCTAAAACTTCCACAGCACATGGGCAATAAGCATCCAGTGCTGCCAGCACTGAGAAGCCTGCACACATCAAATGGAGTTATCATAACCTGGATGTCAACATTGATAAGAAGCTACCTTGTCAAAAAGCAAAAGCACAAATGCTTGAACTATAAGCCCAGAGACGAAGAAATGCAAGATGGAGTGAAGAGGGAAGAAGGCAAGAACCATCAGTGGAGCGCTGAGAAAGTGTTGTTCCAGGGCTACAGGGAAAGTTACAAGAATACCTATTCTGAAAGGTGTCAATCCTTGCAGTTTATCCTTTCCAAATCATTCCATTGATTCAATCTCCCTTGAGATTTCCTGAATAATGACTGAATAAAGAAACATTCTGGATGAATAGAGGGAAGATCTTAGCATGAAATTCAGCTGAATTCTCTTAATCAAGGATCTGGCAATTTCCAGTGAACATAATTTGTTACGAAGGTGCACCATATTTTTAGGGAAGTAAACACTTCTCAGTTGCTGATACGACTATTAATTTCTATAACGCTCCAAAAATATTTTAGACACTTGCAGCATTTTCACATTCAAGTCTCAGCTCCTGTTTTCGAATCTACTATTTAATGACTTGTCAGAAAGACAGGACACATATCAGAAGGAAGAGACTATTACTTTAAAATATGCCAAACATTCAACAGTACCAGGGTTGACAGTACTACAACAAAGATTAGGATTTATACTAAACAAAACTTCCTGTCTACCTGCAGAAATTCCTTCAAAGTGGAGAAGACATTCACTTCAACAGAGTGCCAAGAACTGCTGATAGCCTATTAACAATACTGGGAAAAGCAGCATGACCCCAGAGTGTCCCAAATCCACCTTGGCAGTTCAAAACCAAATTTTAGATGCTAACTGAGGAGGGCAACATGGTCAATGATTATGAGAAATAGTGCCAGTCTTTTTCCAGAGGAAAATAATCAGTTCTTATTGCTTCCATTCATTCCTCCTTACATTATCTCCTACAATCATAGAGATGGCAGATTGAAATCAACTTGAACATAGTCATCTTGTCCTCTTTTGCTTCTATTCAGCTGCTTAAAAGCAGCTGTCTCTCTAAAACCCAGCAAAACAGTTATTCAAAACTTGCCAAAAGGTCTACAAAACCAGAGAGATGCCAAAAATGCATATAAACAGCAGCTTGGTCATGTGCTCACATAATCTTCTTTTTAAATTCTTTGTGTCCCAAAGCACATGTATTTTCTACTCATTGGAAACAATCCGCTAAATTGGTGACACATTTCACCTAAAATCATTTTTACTGAAGTCAATTTGAAGATCCAGAGCAGACAGAGAATACATACAGCTGCGTGTATTGCATAAACAATCAGATTGCTGGAAGAACTGTGAAAACATATCACGTACTGTATTGTCTGCTCTCTATTTGTCCACCAAAATCTCTTTAACTGGACATCACTGGATAACTTTATCATGAGAAAAGGCTGAGGGATGCAGAAAGAATAACAGCATAAAAAAATTCTCAAAACTGTTTATAATTAAGGGGGGATGGGAGGAAAAGACAAATTAGCTCACTGAGGAGAACAAACACCATGCAAATGCCAGAACATTTGTGCATGGAAGATCTGCACCGGCTGAGCAGTAGCAAGAAACAGATGATCAGTAATCAGTGAACAACAGGTAGCACTTGAGAAGAATGTGGTGGGAAGATCACAGTCAGTCTGTGAGGAACCCCAGTGTAGGTTTTCCTTCATGTCCCCAGGTGAACCTGCCTCCAATGGAACAGCATTTAAAGGCTTGCTGCCATGGCAAATGTCACCAGAAGCAGGAGGAGGGCTGGTTATGGATTAATTTGCTATTAGTGCCATTTGTCACAATCTTCAAACTTATTATCCTTGATTCAATCAGGCATTTGTATTGCTGGGAACACACATAAGCAATAAATTTAAAGTGACTCAGGGCAACTGAAAACTCCAGTTTGTACTAACTGGTTTTTTGCGGGGGTAGGTTGGGGTTTTTTTGTTGGTTTGTTTGTTAGTTTTTAATAATTGTCCTTTCCTCTGTTTTTTTCTACTCCACATTTGGAAACCTTTAGTTTCATATTCTAGGACTCAGCTTCATTACGTTGACAAGCAAATTACAACATCATGTAGGAGATGCCAATATACTAGCAGTGACTCATAGTGGTGGTGGTGGGGAGAACAAAAAAAACCAAACAGAAACAAAACAAAAAAAAGCCCAACACACTTTGGTTTTGGAAGCACTGCATCATTTATTTAAGTTATACATTTGCTTCAAGGCTCTGGTGAAACTGGGCCAAAGTAATGATTATAAAACAACGGGGGGATATATTTGAACAACCAGAAGAGCCTATGAGGTCCTAAGAGGAAAGCATCAAATAGGGCCATTGAGTCTGTACTCATAGTTGAAGCAAGAACTAAGAGAGTCACGGACTGACACCAAGGGTCACTACTGTACAGCAGAATGTGCTTCCATTTCCAGAAAGGATAAACGTGAACCCAAACTAGAGCTAACAAGCAGAAGAGTGACTCTCCAGCTTCATTCTCATCCCTACTGGCATCATCTCAGCTCTTTTGCAGGAGGATGGGTTCAACCTTCCTCTCTTTTACCCAGGGGGTTCTTTGCTTCACACAGGTGACAAGTTTTACTTGAGGTTACACTCCTAAAAACAACAAAAATACACTTTCTGCAACCAGTATTATGGGACAGTTTCAGTTGTTGCAGGGCGTAAAGTGCAAGTTCTCAAAGCTGCTCTGTGAATATCCTCCCTCAGACCCATCCTTCCTGCTTTACATTGCTGGTTTTGCTCATCACTTAATATATTCTCTCCCTTTTCACATGAATGGAAGGGAAAAAAAGAGAATACTTTTCCATTCCCAGTGATTCGGCAGCTGAAGGATGTAGATTGTACAAATACTCTGGACAGGCAGTAAAAGAGAGGTTAAAAAAAAAGCACGTAACAAGTTGTGCTGCTGCTGGTGAGGTTGTACATTGGCAGGATCACTGGTGCTAGGAAAGCCTCAATACAGGTGACCAAATATAAACCATTAAAACAACAAAACAAACTGGTTACCTCCAGGAAGGAAATAACATAGTTACTGCAATCCAAGCAACAACAAAAAAGGATGTATTACCTGATATCAGAAAGATCACATTTGTTTCCAGCGATGGCCATAACAATGTTTTCAGGACCATGTTCTTTTAGTTCTTTCACCCATTTCTTCAAAGTATGAAATGAGTCCTAAGCCACAGAAATAACAAATAAACAGCCTAGCCTCCATTGATGTATTTGCTTATTTTTTTAAGTTAGAGGAGCACAGTTTTGACAGTGTTAATGTAATAATAATCTTATAGGTCACAAGACCAGAAGAAGATTGCTGTATCTATGTAATATGCTTTTCAAACTTTAGGTCATAAGAGTTCCTCAAATTAATTCTTGAACCTGGATACTTCAACCTTTGTCCCCCCTTCCCAAAGCAGCACTAGATGTTTTTCTTAAATTCTCAGTGATGATGAAACTACCACAGCTCATTTAAGTTTTGCTAGTAGCTAATTTCCTCCATTTATAATGTGAGATTCATTTGTCTAATTTCAACATCTGCCCAGTATATTACTATCTCAATCACTGTCATAATTTCGGTAACAGCCAGGAGAGCTTTCACAGTGACCCAAATTTACTCATGATGAAACCAAAGATGACAATTCACTTGGCTTTTTCCCTCCAAAGTACAAAATTCAAACACTTTTTGATGCTATCTACCTTTTAACTGTAAATTTCCTATTTCTTTACACTAATGAACTAATAGCATTTAAGTCACTTTTGTTGCTAGAGATTCTAATTATAACACATGGTTGAAATTATTAAAGAAACTCAAAGTGAGCTCCCAAATATATTAAAGATTATTTTTCCCCTACAGAACTGCACAGAAGAGTTGTGTCTAAATCAGCAATGGCTGTATCAGTATCACTGAAGGGAGAGCACTATCAGTCATTTAGGAAAAAAACATCCATTCTGCTTTAATGGTCAATGCTGAATATTACGCATCAGAAAGTGAAATATACATTGGCCTTCCTCTCCTATTTTCTTCTCTTTACTGTGAAAGACATTCCACATAAGTTTGGAGAAAGGCCGGCAAAATAAAATTCTATTCTTACAATGCATGACAAGATCAACCGTAAAATATCTGAATTAAAAACAAGTATCAATTCAGTACCATTCACTCTTCCTCATCTTTTCTCGGCAAATTAGCAAAGGAGAACAGTACCTCTGTGCAACAGTGGCCACCATCATCAGCCACGGATCATTACACTAATGCACTGGAGAACCAACCCAGCCCTCTCAACCTAGTAGTAAATAATTCAATTGGCAAGGAAGGAATAAAATGCTAGTGAACTGTCATGACCATCCATCCATTAACGCCTCCTCTAACTCAGTTTTATCAGCGGGGGTTTCCTTCAAAAGCAGTGGAAGAAGCATTCAGCTAGAAGCTCCCAGCCTCTGGCTGAGAAATGAGCAAGAGCAGTTTAGGATCTGAAAATACAATTTTCATTCCAAATGAATAATGTTGAAACAAAGATCAGAGGCTTATTATTTCATTACTGGTTTCAAAGTTAAGATACCAGTCCCACAGTGCAAACATGAGATTATATGCTTAGTTAAAAATAGTTAGTTTTAAAATCAGTAACATCCAAACAACTGAATTTCTGTTCAGTTGACAAAGTAGCTAGCTGCTTTTTGTAGTAAAAGTCCAATTCCATAGAGAGAACACAGGTGGTGGTGGTGGGAGGGAGTATTGCAGGATATTTTCCTGTCTACCTAGCCAGTGGCAATCCAAAGAAACTCTGACAAAACACAGTCTCCAATCTTTTGTCTAGATTAAGTTTGAACAACACAAGAGCGGAACTTTATATTTAGTTTTTTAAGGCAGTTGGACACCTCCCTCCAAATCTGCACAAACTACCAAAGCATATAAACTCCACTGACATGAACAGGGAATAACACAGAAATACTTCTGCAGTTGTGGGTTTTAACTCCAAGTCTGGTTCAAGCAGAGGAGTTACCAAAGGCAAAAAGCGTACAGAAGGTCTTACCTGTTTGGTGATATCATAAACTATCACGGCTGCTGCTG